AAGCCACTGCTTTACATTGCTCTTTTCTCGTTGGCTTTTTTGTCAAAAAAGTTCTTGCAGACTTCCTGCTTTGCCTTGAAATTGTACGAATCTGCATCTATTGCCCCTAAGCACACGCTTTTATCCATTTGAAGCGCCAGAAATTATTGTACATAAATCACAACAGATGCCATATAATCTGCGATATAAAATGAACGGTCTTTCCCCAGTTATCAAACTTTTATGCCCTCTCGCATGAAGCCGACCCCAACTTTCACATGGCCTTATTCAACAATTTACTGGTTCATACCAAGTAATTTGCGAGCTATCATAGATGATTCGTAGCTGAATATTTGAATCATGAATCTTTGTTGAGTACATAGGATATATTTTCTGGAATGGGAACATTTTTCAGCATGTTGTTTAATCCCCAAGAGCCTCTTTGTAACCTTTGATAAGGCCTTGTTATCCTAGGAAATGATCCCATTCTAGAAATTATAAACTGTGTAATCATCAAACGTCCAAAATGTAGCTGCAAAATCTTTGCAAGCAGCAAATTACTGACATTGTGCCGATGAGTAGCCATCAAAGCCGATGGGGAAGTAAAGCATCGTTGCTTAAAAGAACGCGTAGAAACATTAGCAAGAACCAGGAAAAATCTTACATTTTATCTCACAAGGATCCTGTCGCAGCTATTGTACCATTGTACAAGTAAAAACGTTAGTTAGAGCTTTAAAACTGACTCTGTGGCAAAGATGCAGATTCGTACAATTTCATGGCACGATGGGCAGTCAACAAGAACCTCAAGATAAAAGCCAGTGAAACAAGAGCGAAAAGCAAGGCAGTGGATCTGTGTAAAAAATGGAACCTGCAGAACTTGCGCTATCTATTCCAGCTACCAAGAATAACGCCCTTTCTCTGTTCTAACAATTAAATTGTTACGATGTGAATCTTCGATCACATGAAATAGCAGCCTTCACAGAAAGCACACAAAGTGTTCAGAACCCTCTCGCACTGTAGCTTGGCCCTTCACGGCTCCTACGGTTGGTCTCCTCGGTGCGAGCTCTTTTTACTGCACTCCGGCCGTGTGCCCTTGCTTCTGCTGTGCGCTTTAAGTTCATTTTCATTATGCGCAGATCATCGCAACGGTCAGTGTACGTGACCACCTCTTCTGGGGGAAGTACTCCAATCTCTTGTAGGACATGCTCAAAGCTAGTATGGCCTTTATTATACCACAGCACAGCAATAGCTGTGCCTGTCTCCACAGACGTCTGGGTTGCAAATTTCGTTTTCGGACACAGCAGCAATATTTTACTGTTGAGTGACTCGGCTGCGTTTCGCATCTTTTCATGGAGGCACCAAGCCAGGAGCCTCTCATCAGTAATACCGGTATCACACGGGCACTTTTAATCGCAATCAGTGTGGATTCAGATAAACCAGGATCCAGACTAGGTGCTGTTACATGGTCACTTTTATTCACGATCAGGCGTGATTGGGATCAAGACTGTCACGATCCGCGCATCGCGATATGCCTGAGAGATCGCGATTTTGCTGCTGTCTGCACCCCTTACCTAAGCTTGTTGAAAGAACAATAAACAAGAAAATCAAGCATAGTACGATAAAAACGCTTTAAAACAGCTAAGCGTTTATAAAAAAGAAAATTCTAAACTGTTTAAATTGAAACTATATTCAAAGTATTGCATATCTTAGGATTCGCATCCACCGCATGTATTTATGGGAGAAGCAGACGGCAAGCAGACGACAAGCAGTCGACCGTTGCCTTCAGCGCTCAGTTCAACTCTCACTCCGTCGGAGCTGTTGGAGCACCAAGAAGCAAACTGATTATGAGTGTCGCAAGCCTTTCGACAGCGTCACAACGTACGCGTATTTCGTGGTGTGCGTTTGTGGTGCGCGTGTGTAATTGACCGCTGGCAGGAGCGACTGGAACAGACTTGAGGCCCCAGAAGCGAAACACTGGCGCGTACAACGAGATTGGCGCTTCGCTTCGACTACACGGCTACGAGTGGGGGCCATCAGAAAAAAAGTGAAGGTTAAAAATCTCACACAGATATACAGGTAAGTGCTAGGAAAACTTCATTGAGTGATAGATTTATGAAATTACTATCGCGATAGCCTGCAAATTTGTTGACGTTCGAGCAGTTCTTGGACGAATAACATTGTTCATAAAGGGCTCTATAGATATACCGTACGGCGAGTTTGGTCAGTAGCATGTTTTCCGGCCCGCAAATGTCACCTGAGGCGTTTCATCTGACCCAAGCTCGAACCGGATTGGCTTGGGCCGTGTAGCAGCTGTCATAAAGTTGATCGCGGTCAAGAGAAATCATCCGAACACCCTTATCACAATTAAGAGTGCCAGTGTGACACCGGTATCAGTAGCTTATAAATAGGCATAATTGCCAAGCCCTTTGCTTTTCTCAACAAAGGAATGTGGCCTGGTGTAGGCTCCCTCAGTGCTTCAGCATGCCTATGCTTACACCACGAGTCTCGTTCAGCAGGGCAAAATTTATGGCTACTACCTCTATCACTGGCGCACAAATGAAAATAGGAGGCCCATATAGCAGTGTACATGCTGCGGACACTGCCCTTGTTATTTCTTATAGCTATTTGATATGTCTGCAGCTTCTGAATGGCTGTGACATTTAGCTTTTCCCCTTGTCGCAAAGGTGTTGCCTATTCTGACAAAGCAGTGCCTAGGCGTTTTGAGACGTGGTTGGTGCACTCTTCTTTTTCGATGACAGTATTGCCATACACCTTTGCCTCACAGACAGCAGTGTAGGCCTTGCTGTCGCCATCACTCAAAAAATAGGTGAAGTGCAGTGCGGTATTGCATAACATTGACCTTTGCCATATGCGCACTGCTGCTTCAGATTCCATTGCATGGGATGAACACTCTGTGTTTTTTTTCACATACAGGGCGGAGGAAGGCTTCCCATATTTCTTCACCACCACCTCTGTCCTTGTGTATACTGCAAGCGAAGCAGTAATTCGAAAGGATCTCAATGTCGAGGCAAAGACCTGTGTCCAGGGACACAGCTGTGCCCACTCTGTTGTGGCTTTTATGGCCCCTTTTTTGCCAAGTGCCGTCGAACATGACCGGCACATCGCCGTCGCCGTCCTTAGTGCCTCTTCTAAGTTTTGGCTAACAGCCTTCACAGCAGCACAATGGAGCATCTTGGCAATACCATGAAATGTCTTTTGATCTACGATTTTGGCAGGCCGATGATCGCACAAAATCGCGAAAGCTGGTCATGTCCTGCACCTATGGCACGCTCTGCCAAAACAGCCTGCACGTTTATGGCGAAGCCGTTGCGCGAGCTCCTGCTATCATAGCGAATGTTCGCGCTGGGGTCACTGCACTCGCCGGCCAAGTTGATCCACATCGATGTATGGGTAGACGAAAGTACAGACTCCGAGCACTCAGCATTGTCGCAACGTAGCTCTAAGAAGGAAAGAAAGTCCTTTGCGTTTCTCGGCTAGTTTTCGGATGGCGAGTTTCCGTTCGCGGCAAGCGGAGCGTGCCGCACCTGCCATCAGTGCTGTCAATGCGCCGATCTCGAGCAGCAACGTGCTAGCAGCATAAGCACCAGTCGACCGTGCCTCACTTTTGAAGAATTCCATCTTCTTCCGTGATGCGCTGACGAACTCCACAGCAGCATCGATTTCAGAAACGTCGTGATTGCCGATGTCGTGGTGACCGATGTCGTGGTGACCGGTCAGCAGTAGGCCTAACCCGAGCATCGCGAGCGTCGTTCGCGGCTGTCGTTCTTCGGAGCGGCTTACGTCGTTTTCCTCGGTACTTGTGCGCAGTTCTGTACTTTCAGACGTCTCAACTGCCGTTTTTCGGGCTTGTCATCTCAAGGAGACGTGGAGTGAACACCGAAAACTGCTGCTAACAAGAAAGCGCGGCAGTGGTGATAGGGCTTCTCTACACCTAAAGAGCGTCGCCCGCGCCGCCGTCCAATTGGCGCGCAATTCAAAACACGTTACGGTCGCGACTTCTTTCTTGTTTTTCTTTTATTCTTTGAGAACATACGAGACAAGCGGTCATACAATCTTGGAGGAGAAGGTTGACTCTGCGCGTCCCGATGATTGCAAATGGTGGGCGGCGCTGCCCGACCGCGTCAATGCAAATGGCGCGAACTTTTGCGACTTTTGTTGAATTCTGGTGTCACCGGCCCTCACTTAGGCGCACTTTTCGGTGACTTCTCGTGCAAACTGCAGCTTGATATTTACAGAAATAAAGGTTCATATACCAAACATGACAATACAAAGTAAATCAAAGAAGTAAAGCTATTTAAGAAAACCGCGACATTTCGACACGCGTCTCCTCTTAATCTGGTCCGTACAATGAACTGTTTTCCTGCGCAAGAAGTTGCCTAAATAAAATGGTGGTGTTGCTTTCCGGGATGTCGCAGTCATGATTGTAGCTTCTCGAGCTTTTAGAGAAAGTCCATCAGTTCCAACGTAGATTCTCATATCCAAAAACAAAGCATTAGCATAGGATATTTGTGTCTCATATGGTGTGCAGTTTGTTCTTATTTCTATTAACTATGCCTCGCAATGCCATTTTAATGGTGCGAAAATGCGAATGTTTTCAGCTATATTGACATTTATTTTATTGGAGAGGAATCGACCACCCCTACATATTACACTATTAACAATGCTTTTGTGGCCTTTTGCTGCCTCTCGAAGAGATTGGTGTTCGCACACGAGTTGCCGGGTTGCGGCTAGTTGAAATTTATAGGCTTACACATTGCCTCACAGAGCCGTGACACCTGTTGGCATTACCTAGGTCTACAATAAGATTGCTGCCATACAAGACATTGCATTTAGCAACAGTAAAAAGGAATGCAGCTCAACATAACCACCAGTCTGCACTCGAAAAGTAATGCTCAAACAGCATACAGAAAGCTTTTCAAAACTAATTTATTGATTAGAAAAAATGGCTCCCCTCACATGCTCCTTATCGTCGTCGCCAAGTCGTTCTTATAGAAGTTCCAAACTCAACACCACGGTACTTGGGTAGAACTGGAGTGGATAAAGATGAGGCCTCAGCTCGTGCCTTAGATGCACCGGATTGCACATAACCTAAAAAAAAAAGGTTACAAGCAGACACAGCATGTCAATTGTCTTTTCTGGGCTAGGTTAGCTGTCTTAGGTACGCCCACCTATACTATCTCATGGGAGCAACAAAAATGGTTGTGATGAAAAGCACACTGAATGGTATGCAAACTTTGGCACCAGTGCTCACGCATTTCTGCTATCTTGCGGCAAGATGCGTGTCAGTCAGGTGGGAAGATACATGAATGACAGAGCGCTGGAACAAAGGCTTTCAATAAAGGACATAGAACACTTCCACATTTGCGAGTCGCTGTAATTCACAGTGTGAGCTGTGGCTGAATAAGGTTCACACTTTCATTAATAGCAGGTACATCACGGTTCATTAAATCTTTTAGGCATTTCATATAAATGCATGGGGTTCCTCACGTATCAGTAATACTTTCCTGTTTCTCTCCCAGGTGGAAAGCAAGTTTTTATACCACAGGTTGTTATAAGAATAGTATGGCTCGATGTGTGCCCAGCTTGCTGCGCATTTCTGTGCATATAGTAAATACTTCATTGCAGTATAAGATGAATAAACAGTAAAAAATTCATGCTCCTTTCGACCCGTTTCCTCAATATTTCTTCGTGCAAAAACAGCCCTACTTTTATGGCTTTTACATGACCATGGACCAATCAACCAAACAAAGTGTGCTGCTGACCGCATTCGTGAATTTCTTTGTACACTTACACTTTCAACTATGCAAGCATAGATTAGGTAGTAAACCTCCAGTTGATGACTCTTGATCTTCCTTATAAACTTAGATGCAGCATTTGCCCAGTGAAGCAGCAATAGCTCAGGGCACCTTTATACCACACTTGTACACAAGCACCAAATTTGTGGGTGTATTCTACAAAATGTAGTAATATCAGAGCCCTTGAATACTTTTACTGGTCATGAAGCTTTGACAGAAGTTTGATATAGAGACAGGAGCAACCTCTAGGGGCACCCACGCCCACAACGGGGAATCGGAGTGGCCGCGGCACTGCGATTGTACGACACGCATAGGAGTGATGAAACCGTAATAAATGTAGCCGTGAAGGTTGCATACACTCCAGAGCGATGTTAGCCTCAAGGAAATTCGGAACAGATCTAAGACAGTGAAATTTAGTCGAATGAGGCCTTAAAGCTAGGAATTCGACGGCATGCCGATTCCACTGTCAGATATGCTGCCGTTATAAAAGCATGCTACAATGACGCTGGTGGTTTTCAGCATGTCGTGGAAGTGCAGTGGTTGACACATTTTACAGTGCATATCCAACATTCTAGGTCATATATACATTCGGTGTTTTCTATAAGTAAGCTGTGTAGCTCACTCATGCTGCATTTTCCCTCTGTTTTTTATTCTTTTTACTCTAAAGAGAAAAAATGTCAACACTGACATTGTAAGAAACTTGACATTCTGGCACATTTTAAATCAACTAAATATTAAACATATCAAGAAATGAAACAAAAAGCCTAGAGTAACTCCAACTCTATGTAGCTACTCTGCATCTGCTACTACAAAATAGTATTGAAACCAATACACAATCTAACTTGACACCAACGGGGTGGGTGAAGTGGGGGCAGACATCAAGTCTTTTAGTTTTGCAGAGCATTCATTTTAGAAGAGAAGTTAAGATCAAGAGCAACCCTTACTCTATCAACAAACAAGAAAATCAAGATGTGCCAAGACAGTCCCATTAGGCTGTGCATTGCAAAAATTTGTCACTGAAGATTAACTCGGTCAAACACGTTAGCAGCAAGATGAACATTCTACACCAAACCAATATCTTTTTTTTTGGTTGGACTTAGGGTGGAGTCGGCTTTTCCAGCACATCCTTCCCCCTCAAAATTTCACTTGGCTCGGCTCTGTTCAATTTTTTTTCCAATGGGCATTGCCTGCTATATGTATTATTTATTTATTTATTTATTTACAGTACCTCAAAGGCCCCAATGAAGGGGTTTTACATGAGGGGTGGGCTATTACAATCGGTTAAAGGAGTAGATGCTCGATCGCTGCTTTGAAGTTGATGATACTGGAGTGGTGCGCAACGTGAGGAGGAAGGCCATTCCAATCTTGTGCGGTCTTGACAAAGAAGGATGAAAGGTGCGCAGTGGTGTGAGCTCTTGGCGGGTAAACAGCTTTCCTGTGATTGATGCGGTCTGAAGGACGATGGGCTGGCTTGATGGTGGGAGTACGAGGCGATCCATGATAAAACTTAAAAAAAACAGGCACAGACGAGCTATGCAGCGGCGAGACGAAAGGGTAGCGAGGTTAGCACGAGCTTTAAGTTCGGTTACGCTTGACTGATATGAATAATCTGAAAAGATGAATCTTGCTGCCCGACTTTGCACTGTTTCAAGTGTTTTAGTATTGTTACTCTGATGAGGGTCCCAAACAGCGCATGCGTATTCAAGTTTTGGTCTGATTAGTGTCTGATAAGCGAGTAGTTTGACAGGGGTAGGAGCTAGATGAAGGTTTCGGCGCAGACAGCCAAGAGCACGGTTCGCTTCGTTAGTAATGTGCGTTATGTGAAGGGACCATGTTAAATCAGAAGAAAAATGGACACCTAGATACTTGTATGTAGTTACGCATGAAATTTGAGTGTTGTTAATGAAGTATGCTGGATATGGGTAGCACTGTCGGCGATGGAAAGAGACTAGTGACGTTTTGTTTGCGTTAAAAGACATTAACCACGTTGTACACTAAATTTCAATTTTATGATGGTCAGATTGAAGTTCATGAACATCTGATGTGTTGTTCATTGGGCGATAAATGACACAATCATCGGCGAAAAGTGCGGGCCAAAAATTTGTCGTTTTTCTTACCTCACAATGAAGAATGTAAAGTGGAAAGCCTTACATGACTCCTCAAACGTGAAAATTGCCCTACTGCTTCCCGCGCAGGAGGCGTCAACATATGACAAAAAAGTTATCTTCTCCTGCTCATGATGTGTTGTTATCAAAAATCGACTTTCCACGCTATTATTGCTTGAGCGAGTTTGTCACAGTATTGTGGTGCAACTGTTCTTGCGCCGTCTCCCTTGCAAACATCAATTGGTAGCACTAAAGTCTCTGTTGCATACAACGAATGTGGTTAGATTTTTTCAAGTTGTGAGGAGGTGCATGTAGCTCTGCCTGCTCGGCATATCACCTCTACATTTTCGGTAACATCAGTGTGTGTATTAACGAAAACAGTGAGCGTTTCACTCCTTGGGATTCTGCATTACCTACTTGCACAGGAACGAGGAAGAGGCGGCTAGTGTGCTCGTCTACATTAAATGCGTCATTATTCAATGCAGCTATGTCAAGAAGGCTCATGCACAGTCCGAATAAGCATAAACATTCTTTATTGCGAGATATGAAAGAGCAAACCCTCCGCCCACACCATAAACATATAGCAGGCGATGCCAATTAAAAAAGAAAAATGAACAGGTCAGAGCCAAGTCTTTCTTTCTTTTTTCTCCTTTTCCTTCTTTCTAGTTTTTTCTGCATTTTTTTTCTCATTCTCTTTTCTGTCATGCATTGTTTTTTACATATTTTTCATTTACATTCACTTGAACAGTTTCAGTTTGACAGTACCTGAGCATTGACAATCCTTTCATAATTATAACAATTTTTTTCCTTGTAGAATGTGTTAGGAGTCAGAAGGAGCATTTATTTTTGGTCCTTATTATTGGTAAATTAAGTATATTTCTAATCTCTCCCCTCCCCTTTTTCATGAAGAGCGATTTCATTATGAGAATAGTTTACATTTGTAATCTATCATTTGTGATTTGCTTTGAAGACCTTATTGTCCTGTAAACGTTCTTACGCTCCCTGAAGCTTCCCAGCGATGCTTGGTAGGCGAGCGAGCTCTGCATCTTTTTGCATTACATACAAATACCGCGTGAGACCGTGAAATCTTCTCGGCACAGCGTGGGCAAAAGTTTTGGAACGTGCGTGGTGACTTGACCCTGCCTCCGATTGACCACTTGTCCACGCGAACAATGCCACTCTCATCGAAGCACTTTTCCCACAGGTGCACATTTTGGGAACAAATGTGAAACGACCAGTTTCTTGTTGCAGCCTTTCACACTACCACTTTTCCCACCAATCACTGTAGGCAGCGAGAACTCCGAGACTTTTTCGTCTTTTGTTGTTGTAACCGGATCGACAAACAGGTACCCAGCAGCTATGCAGTATCCTACCCCATCTTCAGGCACAGCACCCTAGCCACAATAGTAATCATTGGGTGAAAAACTACGCGATGGAACACCACGATATTATGCATTGACCCCATAGCAACGTCAGCATACAGGTTCTCTCTGGTCTGTCTGAGGCCTCGGGGCTTCCAATCCCAGCGCACAGAGCTCTTCCATAGGGTTAGGGCTAAACTTCATGACCAGTAAAAGTATGGAAGGACTCTGGTAACATCTCAGGTTTAGGTCCCAAAGCACAATATAATTATGAATGACATAAGGTGCAAACCTACTCCAGCTCATCACAACTGTAAAGGCAGCATTTGCAAGGCAGCATTTGTAAAGGCAGTTAGAGTGGCTACAGCAAATTGAAGATAACCTATATCTATTGCATGCGTGACGACTGCGTCAAGGCTGACTTTCATTTGTGTACAGACTGTAAACTGTATGGCACCAAGCAGTGCGTGTTGCTGACACCCCAAAAAGCCTATAAATAATTAAAGGAACCATATTTTAAAATAGTGAGCATTACTGCAGTTCCAGAGAATGCATTCTGATAAAGCCGACATTATTCAATGTTTTGATACCATTTTAAAATGAATGACAGTTTTAAAATTAAAAATAGCCCCACAAAGAGTTCTTTTGCAATTGTTTTCTAGTTCTTAGATCATCATGCTGCATTGTGCAATTTTCGAATTATGTCACATTCCAAGCTGTTAGTTTTTTTCATGAACAATGGTGAGACGTGTTCCTGCCTCGGAAATGAATGTAGTAAAGCAACACAAAAGAGAAATTAGGAGCATTTTTAAGGGTTAAAGTAAATGACCTTAAGTAAGAACACCCAAGAAGCCAATATGAAATGAAAGAAATGAAAAAACTAAGGAAATTGTTCTAATCAGAACTCAAAATATACATAAATAAAAACAAAATGACTAACAAACTTTGTTTGCCATCACTTTTTCAGGGAACTGTATAACCACAGTTCCAGTGAGAAAGAATTGACAGGTCACACACCAATGAAACGTTGTGTGTTTCTGTTGTGTATTTGTAGCATGTTTTCTCGGTATGGATTGGTTTAAGGCAACTAAAAACAATACAGATATGCTATTGTTAATTTCTGGGTTGTCTAACATCACAAATCTGTATCCCTTAGTATGTGTGAATCATTACATTAACAAAAAGTGTAGCCTCGCTGGAAGGTGCGAGTAACGCATCTCCATCCTCGTGGTGATTTCTGCACTAGACAAGTTTATAATATGGGATACGTTTACCATGATGCAACAGACTAGTACCAGGCGAATGGCAATAGGAGTAATGTAATAGTTCTGTGTTGCACTTGGCCCTAGTGACAAAAACCATACTATTTCCGATGGAGGCGGAAGTGTTGTACACCCGTGTGCTCAGATTTGGGTGCACGTCAAGGAACCCCAGGTGATCGAAATTTCCGGACCCCTCCACTACGGCGTCTCTCATAATCATATGGTGGTTTTGGGATGTTAAACCTCACATATCTATCTAACAAACATCATACGGCTTTGAAGATCCGTGAACAAAAGATCAACAGGCACTGTATGCTTCAGGAAGCACTACTACTCTGCATGTCTATCTGCACAAAATAAATTTTTGCCAAAGGTATCTGTGCTGGCATAAGGTGTTGCCGGGTACTACAAGTATTTAACTATAAGACAATGTTCACAGCCATACATAACATTGAATCAAAACAACAACGAAAAGAAAACTTAGCTGCAAGCCTGAGTGGTTCATGATGAGATGTGCTACGAAGGCACCTAGAGTGTGTAATCGCACTTCTGTATAGCATGAAGCTGCTGTAGCATTCTAAAATAGAGCAGTGTGAAAGCACCAACTTACTTTCATTACGTAGGACCCCTTCGAAATGGTGCTTCAGGGAAGTTCAGACATGTTGAAATAAGAACAGCATAAAATAATTCAATATTGCAATAAACATTAAGACCCATGGCATCATTGGCTTAGCAATAAGTTGGATTTCGAACTCCTTCAAAAATTAAGCGCTCTAGATATATGTAAACATGCACACAAATGCTGCACAAATATGTGAGATAAGGCTGGAGCAGAATTTATAAAAAAATTTACGACTATGCCTCTACACGGTATGAAACATGTATTTGTTTTTCTGTGCTAGGTTCATTATGATGCTGTAACAATAACGCAAATCTCTACTTTAACAGGGTGCTTACATGAATGGCTAAAGTGACAGCCAAATTGTCTGAATGCAATGCCATAACTAAAAATGAAAATTGGCATAATGCATGTTACCCAGGGTCACATGACCAAAACAACACTCTTGTCATGTTTCGGTGTCTCATATAGGTTGCTTTTGTGGATTAAACTACACTTGAGTCAAAGACAAATTTTAGCATCTTCCAAACTAAATGCATTTGAAATCTTATAGCGATTTGTGGAATATATCTTTAATGCATTCAAGGAAATTCTTATGGTACATAAGCACTCAACGTTTCTTAAGCTGACGAAACCTCACCACGTGAGAAAGCACACATAAATTGCAAATGCTTGTTCAGCGGAAATAATGTCAGAAATGTTTCCAATAAAGCCTGTGACTTACCTGCATTAATACATAACTCATGTTCGCACCAGCATTGGCTGCATGTGGACATCACCAGGTTCACCAGGCCAGGAGGAGGCTGCAACGATTTGTTCGTTAGAGCATTGCCAATAATTTTTTCTGGTTTCTTGCCAATGAATTCTGGTAAAAAACACTTTCAGAGAAAGTTGTGCAACAAGGCTGTTGCCAGACAACTCGAAGCTTAGGCCAAGCAGGCGTCGTTTCATGAAATGTAACACTATATAAATGACACAAACAAATTCAGTTAACCTAGCTGACCATGGCAGTAATGCACTATGCACTGATTCATTTATAACTTTCGAAAATACCAGCAAGAAAAGTATAATATTTCAGTAATAATAAAAAACATCACCATCAGCCACATGCTATAATGGGCCTTCGACGAGTAGTTATCTAAAAAACGTGAATGTTATCTGAACCGAAGCTTCATGGTTTATGCAATTATTGTTGAATGCTCTGACATGGATTCCATTGATTGAATTTTTGTGGTCTACATCTTTTACAGCCAACAAGCTCAGCATGCCAGTGTTGCACAGTGCATGTCAGTGAATTAACGCTACTTCTTCGGGCAGTTGGCACATTTATATAATCAGTTGACCAGCAGCATGGTACAGATGAGCAAACAAGAATTCGATGACACTTACTCCTCATCTGTGACAAGCTGCATGTCAACCAAACAAGCCACGCAAGTGCTATATTATCTATTTTAGAAGCAGGATGGCTTATTGCTTTGTTTAGTCACATACACAATAAGCGAATATATTTATCGCATTCTTTATCCCCGTGAAAAGTAAAATTTATGGGACCGTAATACGGCCTGAGCTATAGTTAGTGGGTACAATAATAGTGCCACTTTATGATACTTGCCGGGGTCAGGAAAAACTGCTGTCCACCTTTAGTTCCACCTGTTGAGCACGAATACCCTACAAATGGTTCTGCATAAATGTCTATAGTAAAACATAGTGATGAGCGCTTACTACAAGCTATACAGTTGGGCAAATTAGGAAGCAAGTAATGCCATCAGATAAAGACAGATGTTCAACTCAAAGTAAAATGAGCTCAAGGTAAACGTCCCAAAGCCACGTTTTGTTTAAGAGAGACGCTGTAGTGGAGGGATTCGGAAATATCGATTTGGTGTTATGCACAATGCGCAAAGCACGGACCTGTGGCATTTTACTTTTAATGAAATGTGACCGCCCCAGCCGGGATGGAACCCGCGATCTTCTGGTGAGCAGCAGAGCACCAAAACCCCTGCTCCACCACAGCGGACAGGAAATTCTGCCGAGAGTACGGCTTACATTTGGTCAACATGCACGAAGGTCCGAATTCAGCACTTCATTTGTTCTAAACACAGTGCAATGCCGAAAAAAATTTATTTTTAGCAAATGTTCTGCACTTGCTATAGCTGGAAAGACAAAAATGTCCGAGTGATCTTCTGAAGCTTTCGCAGGTCACGTTACTCAATAACGCACAAAATGCACGCCTAAATAAAAAAAATAGCGTAGATCAGTTCGAGTGCGGGAGATAACTGAGTGAACTTTATAAAACTACCGATCGCACTCTTTAAAAACGTCGCGCGCGAGCACAGTGTACACAACTACAACAGCATGCAGTACCAACACGTTGTGCGATCTCCTTAAGCGACAACTACAATTGCAATAAGAACAACTCGCAACGTATGAAGCGTGACCATCAAAATTACTACTGGCAAGAAAGCACGCTGTCGGCTGACATCCACTGTTCAAGCAATGCGCCGAGTAAGGAACGGCCACTGATCCCCGTCCACCACATCGCGTGTCAAAGCATTTTGCTGGGCCACAGAGAGCGTCGTCGAGATAGGATTGCGGCGCTGCTACTCACTGATGCGTGCGGCGCCTCGATGGCACCGTGGCTTTGAAACGCTGTCGTTTCAAGCCACGAAACCCCTCGAAATTATTAGATATTTCTTAATGCCGCCATGTAAAAGTAAAAAAAAATGCAGGGTCACGCCGATTGAGGCGCCAACACCCACTCAGTTTCGGTATCTAGTTCTCGTCTAAAAAGTGTTATTCGTGTTGCTACAAATACTTTAAACACGCGTTATAACCACGTCATTCGCAAATGCAGTATCCTCTATGCTTGTCCTATATATCTGTCAGTAAAATTGACCATAACTTATTAATAATAAGCAAACTCTCTGGAACAGTTTGTGAAGTTGTTCAGGTGACGTTTGGCTTTGACTGGTGATCACAGGCAAGCCTATAGAGTTCCCTCAAATAATAAAGGGTGGGGTTAAAGGGACAGTGAAGGTAGATCCATCACAGTGTCCCCCTTACAATTAAGTCGATAAAAAGAGTAGACTTTGTGCCACATTCGCCTTCGCCCTCCCACGCATGGCGATGCTTGTGATATGATAACGCACGTCATGAATTCACGAACGTTTTTTTTCTGCACCCCTGCAGCCTTTACTATATTTCCTAATACATCTCCCTTGTTGTTTGAAGTGAAAGCTACCGCTTCTGATATATAGCTGCAAAGCCAATGTTTTTAAACAAAATTAAGCTAGTATGTCATAAAGCATGTGGTTTATTACTGCACGCTTGTTACCACTCGACTCGTTGTGCTCTATCGCACGACGTTTGCATTGTATTTCTATCACGTGTAAACGCATGATACGAAATTCAAATTACCATGATTGCTTTTTTCGAGTGTTGTATGCAGTGTTCAAATGACGCGAAAACGTCTTCATCTCGGTGTACACGTCCTCCACGAAGCAAATGTACTGTTCAAAGACACATGGATTTTTAGGGCACTTTTCTTAGTTCAAGCGAGATCGCCGTTCGTGCAACGTGATCAGGAAGTCGTGAGAGAGCTATAGGCTGCAGTAACTTAGATGAAGTGTGTCCGCAGTGAAGTACGGGCAAATAGCATAGGTCTGCCGTTTCGCCATTTGACTAATGTTGCCACGCACAGGATGCGCCCCTCTACATAATTACCTTTACATAATTTTACAACGTCAATATAAATATTTTGTGACGTTTGAAAGATCTGAGATCGTACTATTGGAATACTAAAGGTAACAGCACAACTAATGTGAATACGTTTCGCGACGTTTCGGACTGAAATTCGCTGGCATTTTGTAGTCGTCACTCGGATTACACGTGAAGCTTGGCCCCGTATTTACTAATAACCTTTTTCTCGCGAATAATGACAGCCTTGAACAAAAGAAATTGCAGGTAGAGTTAAATGAAATAGACCTTTAAGAATCCACCTTAGGGCGTTTTACGGGGCGCCTAACGAAGGATGTCCTTGTCAGTGTAAGCATAGTATTAGTAAAGGCGTGGTATGACAGTCATGGGAGCGAAGCTATACGCACGCTTTTATACTTGAATCGGTGCACACGTCATCCACGTAGCAAATGTACAGTGTCGATTTACTAAAGGGAACATGAAAGCGCGCAGCCTGCACGCTCCGGCGGCTGCTGGCAGTGCGTTCAAGCGGGAGCGCGAACAACCACAGTCCCTTTTCGCGTAATCTCGTGGCCAGCAAAGCAACCATTCGTTGCTGATATGGAACCAGCAGCAAGATGCGACCCCCTTCTCTTCAAGGCGATTACGCTAGAGCTGGTAATCGCCTTGAAGAGGGAGGGTTCGCTATCTTGCCGTTCTATAAATGCAACGAATGGTTGTTTTGCTCGCCGCGAGATGACGCGAAAAGAGACTTTGGTTGCTATCGCTCCCACTTGAACACGCTGCCAGCAGCCGCCGGAGCACGCACGACACGCGTTGCGGTGTTCCCCTTCATAAAAATTGACACTCACTGTTCGAAAATACATGGATTTTTCAGGCGTGTTCCTAAGTTCATGCGAGATGAGGGTTTGGGAAACGAATAAGCATTACATATTCCCCCAACAAATGTTAAATAGGCTGTACATTTAGACTGCCAAAAAATAAACACGGCTAGTATTCGACAGGAAGGTTTCGTGTTGCTGACTTGCGACGTGGCATGAGTTCAGCCGACAGTTTCGTGATGCGTACCGCAGTACTGAAAGGAAAGAGAGAGTGGAGCAGGCTATCTCGTCTCGGAAACAACGACCCAACGAGAGAGCTTCGATGTTTGTCGAGGACAAGCGTCGACACTTCAAGCGCGTGCTCAACCTGCAATCTTCGAGAGAAAGAAGGTGCGGCATTTAATGCGTGGGGTAAAAGAGCAGCTCTTCGCCGGACTCGTGCGCAATCCACCGACGACTGAGGCAGAGTTCATAAATGAGGTGACCACAATGGAGCGTACTCTCCAGTATAGGTCGTCACAGTATGAACGTCACGACGTGACCCCTGCTGCATGCTTTATCGGGGCTGACAGCGAGAGGCATGCCCTCGCAGAGTTCATAAGAAGCATCGTGTGGGACGAGCTGCGCCAACTGCAAGTACCGGGACGCCAACCACCCGTAAGTGCTCTCGCAGACTTAATCCGAAATGAGATCCGATAGGTGGTCACCCCACTCGCGCCAACAAGGCCTGAGGCCCCTGTGCTGACTTATGCGGCGGCTCTGCGATCTCCTGCACCACATGGCCCTGATCCCACGATGGGGACAATGGATCAGGCTAGCCATCGATTCCAGGGCACTTCTTCGACTCCGCCACCCGCCTCAAGGTTTCCGAGTGCACCAACTTATCGTCCGTTCGGATCGCGGCAGAACGCCACAAAGGCCAGCGTGTGGCGTACGTCAGATAACCGTCCACTCTGCTACCACTGTGGCGAAGCGGGTCACGTCTACCGTAACTGCCAGTACCGCCAACTTGGTCTCCGTGGCTTTCACCCTGATGCTCGGTGCCCGCGTTACGGTGAGCGTTCCCGCGACATCGAAGCGAACGCTACGGGCCAGCAAGGTCATCGCCTTGGTCAACGCCCCCAATCACGATCACCATCACCTCGCCGCCCCACGTCACCTAGCATTACCTCGTCATCTTATGCTCCTTTCAGAGGCCGGTCACCGAGTCCCCACAGGGGAAACTAGAAACCGCGGCTCCTGGGGGGGAAGCCGCGTCCCAACGAACTGTCAAAGAGCCTCCTTCGACGCAAAGACCCGACGAAGACCGTTCTGACTTTCCAGTCATTTCCGAAAGTCATAAGACTGTTTCCGCCGACATCACCGTACACGTCGATAATCACGTCGTCACTGTCCTCGTCGACACCGGCGCCGATTATTCAGTTATGAGCAGCGCCCTGCATCCCAACTGAGGAAGGTAACTACCCCCTGGCAAAGACCCCCGTTGCGCACGGCAGGGGGCCACCTCTTCACGCCGACTGGAATGTGCACAGCCCGTGTTCGAGTCCGTGCTTCGACGTTCACAAAGTCTTTCCTCGTATTGCCTGTGTGCTCCCGTCCACTCAATCTGGGGCTGGACTTTCTTCGCGAATACGGCGCAATTATTGACCTACGAGACTCGCTAATGTCGTTCGAGGACCCGCTTCATCCTGAACCGGAAAACGCCCGCTCATCGAAGGCTGCCCTACGTGTATCCTCCGAATCTGTTACTCTGCCTCCCCGCAGCAGCCTTTTTATCAACGTTGAATGTGACCAAGACGTCGCCGATGCTGTAATTGCAGAAGGAAATTTGTCCCTACTTTTTGCACAACTGCGTTGCACAAATCTGCGTTGCCCAAGGTATTGTTCAGCCCAGTAGAAAGCAGGCTTGCCTATTAGCCACGAATTTCAGCGAGGAGTATCGCCATCTTACCAAACACACTGCGATCGCATACTTTGAGGATATTGCCGACGTCCCTGGTCCATCAACATTATCTGCTCTTTCGTCGTGCGACGATTCCGCCATGACATTTGCAAGCACTCTCGACGTAAACTAGGGTCTACCGTCTGCACAATGGGAACGTCTTTTGAAGCTACTCGGCTCATTTCGGGACTGCTTCGCTACGACTTCGAAAGTTAGCCAAACACCGCTTGCCAAGCATCGTATCATCACCGAGCCTACCGAGAGACCCATTCGACAGCATTCCTACACAAAGGGAATGTTTATTCGCGAGTACCTCTTTGTATGATTACATCAATCGAGGTCACCTGGACTCCTCGAAACTCATATATATATATTAACAGAGTGCCCGTTAGAGGAGCAATTAAACGGTGAACAGCATTCCTACAGAGTCTCGCAGAAAGAACAAGACGATATACGCCAACAGGTGCAGCAGATGCTCAAGGACGATGTCATCCAGCCATCGACCAGTCCCTGCTTGTCCCCTGTTGTGTTAGTAAAGAAAAAAGATGGTACTCTGCGATTTTGCGTCGACTACCAAAAGTTGAATAAGATCATGAAGAAAGACGTGTATCCTTTATCACGAATAGACGACTCGCTGGAACGCATTCGCAATGCCCGTTACTTTGCTTCCATGAATCTACGCAGCGGCTATTTGCAAATATCTGTTGATGAGCGCGACCGCGAAAAGACCGCCTTCATTACTCCCGACGGACTCTACGAGTTCAAGGTCCTTCCCTTCGGCTTATGCTCGGCACCAGCTACCTTTCAAGGAATGATGGACACGCTTCTTTCTGGGCTAAAATGGCAATCGTGTCTTGTCTACCTTGACGATGTGGTCGTCTTCTCGGACATGTTTGAGCAGCACGTCCAGCGCTTACAGGCAGTTCTTCAAGCGATTCGAACAGCTGGAGTTTCTCTCAAACCTGAGAAATGCCACTTTGCATTCGAGGAACTGAAATTGCTTGGTCACGTTGTCAGCCACGCCGGTATACACCCAGACCCCGAGAAAACGAAAGCTGTTGCGGCATTTCGTGTCCCAACGAACAAGCACGACCTCCGCCGATTTCTGGGACTCTGCGCATATTACAGACGCTTCGTCAAAGGCTTTTCTAAAATCGCTGAA